CCATCCCCTTCTTGCATGACCTCCATGCAAACTTGTCTTCATAGCTCTCCCAATGTCAATACCATCTTAGTTTGACATAATACCCCTTCGACGTCAGTATAGCCATCAATATCTCCTCTTCAATCACCAACAACACCCTTCTTCTTGCACCATCTTCTTGCAAGCTACACTCCACATCTCTTCCAGCGTCAAGGCCATCTTAGGTTGACAGAAGACCTCATCGACGTAGATACAGCCATTAATATCATGTCGTCAACCAACAGCAACTCCCCTCCCATCGACAAAGACTATCAAGACGTGCTCTCAGCAACCGATGTCTTAACAATCGATCGGCAATGGATCTTAAAAGGAGGCACCGGACTAGAGAGGCCCCAGATCGAGGCGGTGCTCAAGGATCTGGAGTATGAGAACGAACGAATCAAGCGAGAAATTTTCCAACCCATGAGGCGCGACGAGAACAGCAAAAAGCTCGCCAAGTTCATCTCGCATATCACCCCCGTCATCTGCTACGCACAACGTCGCCTTGACCGGCAGCTTCGTGTGGCGCTTACTGAGCCTGTAACTGAGCACGCAACTGAGCCCCCGCAAATCTTGGTTACTGCAATACCACCTCTTGAACCTCCTGTTCCTCAGCTCCTATATCAGATTGCCAAATGGTCACTAAACACGATCTTAGATGGGTATATGAGCACAGACCGGAGCATTCGGCCCAAGAAAGTGGTAATGTGCTGGGACTTGGGTACTGCGGATGGGCTCTCGGGCCAGATATTTAATCCGAATGACGACCAGCTCGGAGATTTTGACTTGGCAGGGAGTATTCAAGCATTCGGCTTTGACGACTACCAAAGCAAGACAATTGACTTGGGAATATTCGACTCGTCTTGAAGATTAATCAGAGCAATACGCTAGGGAGAGATACACGGCTAATGCTAAGGCGTGGACGAATTGGAAACAATGTGACTCATGGAGAGAAAGAACGGGCGTTGTCGTTGAGAATTATCGCTTGGAATGTTTGTCCACGGCCCATACGCATTAATAGAACATCATACTGCGAAATCTGCGCATTGAATTCGGAAACTGTACATCTCGTAGATGATCTAACCCTCATGTGTCTAGTCAGCATGAATCTATAGTAACGTACATGTAGCGAAAAGGGGTATCTCATATGCAACGTGAAATCTAAACGGCGCTGCGGATGCTCAGATTGTCTTCTCGGAAGATCAGCAGAGCTAGCCGATGTCTCACGAACAGACCAAACAACCCCACTAAGGTCTGCATAATAGTGATTTCAATGGCCAGGGTATCCTCCCTCATTGGTCCCCGCCAAACCAGCCAAAGGTTGAGAATTGTGAAGTTGCTCGTCTCTTCTATTCGGCCATCTGTATCTTGCTTAAGCGACAGGAGCTTAAACTGGGCCAGTAGACGTAAGACTTGGGCAATTATGGGATGCGGCTGTTTTTCCTTCTCCCACTTTGTGACACTCGGCTCCAGTAGTCCTGTTCGAGCATTGAAGTGTGGTAGACGGTGACGCGGACACGGGACCAGACCGAAGAGTTGCGGCACGCTGTAGACGAAGTTGAAGATTTGAGGGATCAGTAGGAGGATCAATGTCTTGGAGAAATGCCCGAGGATGCTGACGACGACGAAGACCATGCCAGCGAAGTAACAGTACGTATCTCCGACGAAGACACGAGCTGGATACCAGTTATGGCAGAGCAGTGCGAAGCTTACACCTAGGAAGGGCAAGAGGAAGAAGAGAGAGAATAAATGAGAGTCGGTGGCGGGATGTGGATACGGGGTGAGTAGGTAGAGAGCGTCATTGAAGGCCAACAAAAGCGCAATGACAATGCTCTGGGTAACCTCGATACCATTTATGCCGGCTAGAATGTTGATGCTATTCGGACTGAATATGCAGAAGGCTGCCATGTAGCCATAGTAGAGTATGCCAAGATCGAACAGTTCGCGGCCGACGTAAGGCTGGAGGAAGGTGGGTAGAACGATGGAGGTGACACCGAAGTCAACGAAATATATGATAAGGAGCGGGATAGAGGCAAAAGCTGGGATGAAGAACTTGTGTCGCCAGCGGATGTCGAAGAGGTCATCGCCAATGCCGAGGAGGGTGATGCTCTGGAGAGAAATGATTGCCGAAAGGAAGGACGCCAGCTGTACAATAGCCATTTGTTAGTGAAGATGGCCCCAGAACAGATAAGGTAGGGAAGAGAAAAGAGAAATATATCACACCTTACTATGCGGGAACTTGTGCAGTAGCCTTCCCTTCTCGACAAACTCGACATTCATGACCACATCTCGGTTTCCACCACCACTAGTAGCGACAACAATATCCTTATAGAAAGGGAAGGGTATGAAGACGATGATGACCAGGAGGTAGACAATGGCAGATATGGCACCCATACACTCGGGAAGGTAGTGGCTGTTGTTGACCTTGGACAGATCGCGACCCTTCAATCCGGCCTTGATGAAGGTAGGACCAAGCCATCGGATGGTGGCATAGGTGGCAGCGAAGGCGAAGCCGCTGAGTGCGAGAGAGGCGACCAAGGGCTCACCATCGCCCTCGAGAGTTCGGACGAAGATGGCGACGCATACGAGGGATAGGGCACCGAGATTAATGGTTTCTGCGCGCGAGAGCGCTGTCGAGACAGTTTGGCTGGTCATGTTGTAGGCTCGCGCATCTTACCCCCAAGTTGGAAAAGAAAAGAGGAAAAAGAAGAGACGAACTACTTCACATGGTGGAAAGTATTGTATTGTATTGTGCTTCGGAAGTGTTTGGTGGGGGGTTTGTTCTACAGCTGTAAGTGAGGACGAAGTTGGCGTCGCAAACAGCAAACGGTTGTCGTGGCCTCAACTGTCTTACATGTAAATATTACATATAAATATAAGGCTGAAGAAACAGCCGAGCGCCTGCTAATGCTACCTACTGTACTTGTAGGTAGGTACCTAGGTACCAAACGTGGGGCATACCTACATGTACATATACCCCTGTAGTGGAGTACCCTATGCGCCTAGTGTGACAGGGACTGATAGAGGCCAATCAGCTCTTCGCATCTGGCTGTACTGTAAGGTACTGTACTTCTTTAGCTCACGGGTAGGTACTTCCCCTGTAAATCGTAACGAACCTGCAGTGTTCTAAGGGTTCCAAATCGTACACTAGACAACATTCCAACATTTTTACTTCCTTTGCCAATGCCAGTATATTACCAACACTATTATTAAGCTGTTACAACCCGCCAACTTCGAGCCCTATCCAAGTATATGTCCAACTGCCTCAGGGGGCATTTCTATCATCTCCCCTTTGGTCGAACAAAGCCGCACTGGTAATGAAGCATAAAGAAATCTGGAAGACTCTGGGCCGAGTCTAGACCGAGCCCATCACAACCCGATGCGTGATAATACTTGTTGGCGTAGATACTTTCAAATCCTGGCTCATATACCTAAGTCAGGACGTTGAGGTAATATGTACCAAGAGGCTCAACATGGGGACAGATGATCTTCACTATTTTTTCAGATGGCCATAAATATCTCTACTTCCAACATAGGTATATCAATAGATTGTTGTTGTTAGTGGTACCGCTAGAATTGCAATACCGAGTGGTTATGACGGACTATTATGACGTCCAAGAACAGCTTAATGACCTAACATCACGGGCGCCCGCTCCGCGAAGACAGCGTGTTGAAACTGCCTGCAACTCCATTTCGATCAACTTCTTGCTAATGGCTGACTTTGGAGGCAATGGATACCTTTCTCCATGCAATTGCTGATTGCTCATTTAAGACACAACAGCGTTTTCCCCCAAGCCAAGTGACAACAGAACTTGTGGACATCTCGGGAGAATTCCCCTTGTTCCAGATTATAACAGCACCTAGGCCTCACTGTGTATTGCGCGCAAGCTGAAGCGTCTTCGAATCATCTGATTCTCTACTCTCACTAGCCATCTAAAATCCATACTCGGCCCACAGTTCGTGCAGTCATCCAAGCAATTCCCCCAGAGTGACAAAGTATTCATATTGTGCGGTCAACCCGGTATACTAGTTTGCAAATGCCAACACCCAACTGACAATGCTAACAAGTGCTTATATCTCACCTATTGGTAATGAGGTAAGTGAGATCTTATTTGATGTCACAATGGGCGTAATCAGCGTGTCCACGCCACCTATACTATGCTAGTGAATCTTTGTAAACTTTGGAATCAACAACGAGGTTAATAGTGGGTTTCCTTTTCAACTATAGAACAACTTGACATTGACTGAATGATCACCGTTCAAGATGACCTAGAGCTCACAGCGTCCTTCCAACTTGATTGTGTGAGACTACATGTCGCAGTGGAACCAATAATGGGACGATCATTACCCTCTTCCGCGGTTGTTCTTTGCACATTGCACATTAGAAATTGTTATCGTCTCACAAAAAGCAAACCTCCAAAATTCCACAAAAAGAGTATGTACAGACATTAAAAGAATCAGCTCTTTAAACCCCAGCACGCGGTGGACGGACTAATCGGAACATCTCAGCCACAAAGTGTGTACGCACTTGTTAATCCCATAATATCTTATAATGTAACAAATTGTGGTACTAATGTTGTTAAGGGAATAAAGGAAATAGATCTGATCCACACGGTGAAGTCTTTATTTACACACACTGTCTCATCGCACCAAGCATAATAAAAAATTTTGAATAAAGAAAATCAAAATTAAAATCCCAAAAAAATCTCAATGTATTTTCTAGCTATTTATAGACCAGATTTTTTTTCTCCCCTAATTCTTAAACTATATGTATATAATGCTTGCTGGTGGGGGTGTTCCGAGTATTCTGACCATCACGTGCCTGGCCACCTGCGACTTGTTGTCTAATGACAAGCAGGTATCCTAACCACCAGATCAATCAAGACTTGGATTATATAGACGTAAGGCTACTAAAAAAGGCTCATCATGATTACATCTCCGAAGAGAAGTGGGATAAGAAAAATGCAAGGCAAAAAGAACAGCTCTCGATCGGGGAATCGAACCCCGGCCACCTGCGGCTTGGCTTCTAACTACTAGATTTCACTATCGTGAACAGTAGTTTGTTGGATGACAAGCAGGTATCTTAACTACTAGACTAATGAAGACTTAATCATATAAAGAGTTTGCGCAATTACTATTATAATGGCGTTGGGTTGGGCCGAAGAATGAGCCATCCTTATGCAACCACGCGAAGATGCTATCGTCATAACAAGGGGCTTTCAACATCTTAAGCACTATAGCTTTTACAATCTGAGCTATTGATTATGTCAAGTATCTCTTGTCCCCTTAATAAATTAATAAGCAGTGATACTACAGTTCCAATAGTAGTGGCTGGATTTCAGATTATGGCCAAAGTGGCACGGCCACTCTAAATTCTTACTTGGTGAGGACTATCAAGAATTTGAAACAATTAAAAGCAACTTATAACTATGCTTGACCTACTTTTGCAATAGCAGGACTGCTTTGCTTGTAGGAGTATATGGTGTACCTTGCAAAGATTGTCCTCTTTCAGGGGTCATCCTGGATCTTCGAATAACAACTTGCAGACACAACGATGATTTCAACAATCAATTAATCAAACAATACGCCCTACTGGCGCAATGGCTAGCGTGTGTGACTTCTAAAAGAAACAAAAAACGTCTTTTAAAAGCTATCACAAGGTTGCGAGTTCGAGTCTCGCGTGGGGTTCTCCAATTCCCAGGACGGATATTCACTTTTTATCAGGTGTGGATATATTCCCAGCTTACATGCGGGGAATATAATGGAGAAGTAACCTATCTTGGGCAGCTTAGGCAGCTTAGGGCTGATTAATGCCGTATCATTTACATCGCAGAACAATAATACAGCGCACTGATCAATACCGTTCTGTTTTTTGTTAAGGATAAAGCAAGCTTTACGTTGAAGTTGTCCCGGCCTTATAGTCATATCTAGTAGCTAAGCGCAAGTTGCTACTAACACTTGAAACCGGTTTGCAATACTATCAAACTGGGTAGAAAACAACACTGCTTAATATATCCTACGGATAAAAGAAAAATAAGCATTATCCACTTTACTTAAAGTAGTATTATACAACGGAGTTCATATAGGTTGCCCCAAGCTTATTCTAAAGCTTAGACAAATGTATAACGCCTCTTTGTATGTGGCTCATTTATTCTGTCCAGCGCATGACTGGGTATAATAGGCCTGTTACGAAACAGACAATCAAATACCACGGCCCCTGAGATCATATCAATTTGTGCTTGCTCTGACATCCCAAGCTAGCGGGCTGTAATAGGGAAACCAACTTCATCCCATGTTGTGGCTATGCAAACTGCATATCACAGATTCAACACCTCTATATCACACCGAGTTTAAGCACGAGACCTAATTAACACCCTACTTGCTGGCTGCGCCTTAACGTTATTATTCACAGGTGACAGAAACATCAATACGGGAACTCTCAATAGCTAAGCAAGATGCATAGCAAGCACGGTCTTAAGTCAGGATTTCTCATATTGTGCACGTTCAAAGTGCTGTTTATGACTTGTTGATTCTATGTATAGATACGGAGTACTGCTACCGTAACATACTTCTATACGGCGCATACAGCATGCCGCCGTACACCGTAGTTGGCTCCACCGGCTGTGCTGTACCGCTGTTCGATACTTACTATGCTGGTTCCTGGTTACATCACCCTCTGCAGGGCAAGTCTAATGGTAACAGCACTGTATGGCCGATCATGTTGAAAAGTCGCCATCAGCATACCAGAACAAGTTGCAGAGTATGTGAGGAGAACAGCATCTGATATATGAACAATTAGACTTACTACCTGTTGGCTGGAGGGCTATTGTGGCTTGCCTCAGGCACCAGGAACAGGGAGGTGGCTGGTGCGTGGCTGGTGTGGAGAACAATAGTGCCTAGGTACATTGTTCATACCCCACCACCCAATTTGGTTAGGGTATACATACTTCGTACGCAGATCTCCCGACCTGAATTACTTAACGGAATACAACACAGAATTCTCATATAACAGAACCTACCCTATGTGAGTGGTTTGTCAACACTACCGAAGTGTTATCACAGGTAGTATATCGAGACGAAGTCTTTGAAGCTGTTGAATTAAAGTTGTTACCTATTTGACCGCTGGTTTGCAGATCGCACTACCTACTGGGAGCCATGCATTTGCCCGGGGGACCATCGCCGTGATCAACAAATCCCCGGCGATAGTGGTGGGAATAAAGCCCGGTATTTGGAAGCGCCCTGCCGAATACCACTCTTCCGAACCTGCAATCAAGCCGTGATGAGCAAAGATGAACAGCGGCCCGCCCGTGTAATCCTACCCATGTCTCGACTTTCGCTGCATGCCCCAGATGGCTCTCCATAACTCCAAATGCCATCCGAAGATCCGAAAGGAGAAAAAGGGCTCTTGCCGATTTCGCGAACGGATGTAGCTACTATGTAGTATGGACGACATCTTGTAAAGAGCGCTTGCTTTTTTTCTTTCTTTCTTTTCCTCTCTTTCGCTCCGGTTTCTCTTCATCGATGTAACTAGAGCCTTGCCTTGAAGAGACCAGCCTCATGCAATGACTGTGACTTGCCTTTTTCTCATGCAGCACTCATCTTTAATTTCCAAGTACTAATATCCCCTTCTTACAACCTGGGACTATGACGACAGGGCCGTTGGATGGTGAGTATAATGAGAAACGCCATGGGTCAGGATTCGATGAAGAACGCGGTGACATTGATCACGAGGACACAGAAGATGCCGCCGGGGTGAGCGCTTCCTTGAAAACCCCCTTTTAGTGTACGTATGAAAACAATATGCTCACAGAAAATATCTGAAAATAAAGGATGAGATCCAAAAAGTCGACACAACAACAAGTCGCCTAAGCAGACAGAGCAGAATCTCCCGCATCCTCAGCAAAGCGAGCGGGAAGAAAGAACAGGACAGTAAAAATGTAGCCCCCACCATCCTCCTCATCTCCGACCTCGATCGGGGCGTCGTAGGCTGGGAGAGCCAGGAGGATCCGTCTATGCCGTTGAATTTCGACCCCAGGCGGAAATGGATCATCGTGGTCTGTCTGGCGCTCATCACGCTCCTCTCACCTCTATCGTCGTCCATCCTGGCCCCGGCTATCAATTCGATTAAGGAGGAGTTTGGCACCACCGATGCTACGAAGGCTTCTTTCCCTGTTAGTATCTTCCTGCTCGGGTACGCGATTGGGCCGCTCTTCTTATCGCCGCTGTCGGAAATCTATGGACGAGCTGTGGTCTTGTCGAGCGCGAACGCGTTCTTCTGCGTCTGGCATATCGGCTGTGCGTTGGCGCCGAGTCTAGATGCCCTCATTGTGTTCCGCTTCCTCTGCGGCGTTGGAGGTGCGGGCTGCATGACTCTGGGCGGCGCGGTTATAGGCGACCTCTTCCCGGTCGTGGAGCGAGGCAAGGCTCTGTCGGCATGGACGTTAGGACCTCTCGTCGGTCCTACGTTGGGTCCGTTGATAGGCGCTTTCATTGCGGGAACGATTGGCTGGCGATGGGATCCGTGGATCGTCTTCATCCCGTCTACGGTCGTCACTATCGCTTTGGCGATCTATCTTCCCGAGACATGCCACAAGGTGCTAATTGAACGCAAAGTCGAGCGGTTGAGCAAGGAACTTCATAGGGACGATCTCATGAATTGCTATGATGCCGAAGGAACGACGAAACTGTCACAGGCGAGACTCTTGATGACGGGATTCACGCGACCTTTGAAGATGCTGGTGTTGGCACCTATCATTTTTCTCATGGCTATCAACGTATCATTCAATTACGGCACAAGTAAGTATACATCCCGATCTCCTCTCATTCCTATCTGTGCCTATAGCGCGCATGTTGGTATCATCAAACATGCCATCCATTTGTTGCGCGGAGAGCCTAACCAACGCGACTATCCTAGTGTACCTGATGTTCAACTCAATCCCTCCGACATTCGAGGAACAGTACGGTTTCTCAACTAGTCTCACGGGCTTAGTCTACTTAGCCCAGGGACTTGGCTATCTCCTAGGCCTGTGGAGTTTCCTGCTCCTTTCGGACAGGACGGTAGTGCGATTGACGAAGAAAAACAACGGCGTCTTCGAACCTGAAATGCGATTGCATCTCATCATTTACTACGGTAAGTACACACGATTTCCTGTGTACCTAGTCGCCAAGGCTTCTTTCTGGGATGCACGAAAAGGGTTTACATGCCTCAAGGTTCTAATAGACAAATTTCTTTCTTGTGAAATGATGAACAGTTTTACTGACTTTAACAAACCGTAAACATAGCTTGTATCTGCCCCATCACGTTCTTCTGGTACGGTTGGACAACCTACTACAAAGTGCATTGGATCGCGCCGATCCTTAGCCTCATCCCCTTCGGCACTGCTATTCTGGGCATCTTCCTGCCGACGCAGGCCTACATCATCGACGCCTACCCGCATTACGCGGCCTCGGGGCTCGCGGCACTGCTAGTGTTACGCAGCGTCTCGGCGGCCTTTTTGCCGCTGGCCGGACCGTCTCTATTTGCTACGCTTGGGCTTGGATGGGGGTCCTCGGTGCTGGGGTTCATCACTGTTGGGATAATACCGATCCCCGTGCTGGTGTTGATTTTTGGTACGAGGTTAAGGAAGAGATACCCAGTGAAACTTTGAGGTTTGCGCTAGGGTTCATAAACATACAGGTCAGTCTGGGGTATTACTCGACGTGCTAGGACCGTGGATTCTAACTGCTTTTGCGCATAGAACGCATATAGAGATACCAATAGAGGAATAGAGTCCTCTTATTAAATAAAGCCGCGGTAGTTGTAACATCGCACGTTCATAAAGCATATAAAGATATCCAAAGGCCTCCCTCAATTTGAGTCGTTACAACCTTCTCATAGAAGTACACACAAGTGAAGCAGTCGTCAATCATGCATGGATTGTCATACGGTATTTTCATCTTATCATAAATCATTTCTCCGTCTTTCCAAACCAAGCCTTAAATAATCAACCGTCTCAAGCACTCAGTTTTCCACCGCAACCTGGTCAACCACTGATCTTCGCAACAAGCGAATCCCCCAATCCCTCAATACTCGCCTCGAACTCGGCGAAGTTGGCAGCATTCCACTTGGCGCCATCGGCGCCCGGCACAGCGTCCTCGCCCTGGAAGGCAATGTATAGCACGTCCGTCTCCTCGTGGCCGTTGTCTCCCGTGATGCCCGTACCGAAGCACGCTGTGGCTAGCGATATGGACGACTCTCCTATCACGGCCTTGTCGCCGTCGTCGCCGTTTTCGTCGCCCCAGATTCCGTAGACCTAGTTTCGCTGTTAGCTTTATTTTCCCACTTCATTAGATGTAGCTAGCATTTATTGGGAGTCTCCGGTGAGTTTGGCTTTGGAATCGTTCTTCCACGTGTTCGCAGACAGGGATACATAACCTGGTATACAACCAAGCCAAAACCGCATGACAAAGCAATATAGAGAGAGAGAGAAAATACGACCAAAAACAACTCACCAGCTTATCCCCACAAACCACCGCAATAACACTAAGCGGCTCGATGCCATATTCCTGGGGATCGAAATTCGTGTACCCCGGGTTCTCGCCCGTGTTGCCGAACACGACGTAAGGGTGGATATTGGCGTCGAGATCCCGCACGCCCTGGCCGTACCCGCGAACCGTGTCCGCGAATGACGTGACCGACTGCGTGTCCC